ATTTACTTTTTTTCTAGTAACTTGCTATTACAAACAATGTTGCCAGAACCATTGCACAGAAGTCTTGGCACATAGTCTTTCTGTAGGATAAATGTCTAGAAGTGGAATTGCTTGGTCAAAAGAGTACATGCTTTTACAATTTAGACAAATATTGCCAAATAACCCTTTAGAGGTGTCTAAGGGATCATTTGACAAAAAATAGATCCTTTCTATAAATTTTTACAATAATGAATATTGAAAAATACAGATAAGTATGAAGAAATGTGTACCTACCAGTCAACTTTATTAAAATAATGTTAACACTTTAGTTCTGACTCCTTTTGAAAAGCATAGCTGAGATTCTGTCTTTTGTCTTCACTGGAGGTCCCCATAGTAGGGGGGATGGTGATATTTTACCTACCCTTAGGGAAGAAAACGAATAGCCAGGATAACACTTAGAAGCCACCCACTGCTTAGGTAACTATCCATGTTATGGAGCAGCAGTCTTCAGACGGTGGTAAATAAACCCTGAGCCGTGCTTGAACACTTCCTAAGGGGAGACAAGCATAGATGATTTTAAAGGAATCAAGTTCCACATCTCCCTCTTTCAACTGGACTATTATTTCCTGAAGGTGATGGTCTGAGAACATGCCCGTAGACTGTTTTCTGTTCTCCCAAAAGAAATGTCTCTACCACCAACGTCTATATAGACTCACTGGCACCTACTTCTTTTCTTCTTTATTCTTTTCTTTCTCTCTTTCCCTCCCTCCCCCCTTTTTCTTTCTTTCTTTCTTTCTTTCTTTCTTTCTCTCTTTCTTTCTTTCTTTCTCTCTCTCTCTCCTTCCTTCCTTCCTCTTTCTTTCTTTCCTTCCTTCTTTCCTTCTTTCTTTTCTTTGACAGTCTCACTCTGTCACCCTGACTAGAGCGCAGTGGTGTCATTATAGATCACGGCAACCTCAAACTCCTGAGCTGAAGCAATCCTCCCACTTCAGCCTCACAGAGTGCTAGGATTACAGGCGTGAGCCACTGCACCTGCCTCCTTTATTCATTTCTATCAGGTATTATTAAATTTAGATTAACTTTAGGAGAATATGTAATGGATTCCACTGTAAATAATGCACATAACAGCAATCATTGATACATAAAATCTAGTAATGCCCTGAACTTGACAAAACAGCTTCATTTTATTGGGATTAATTCCTCTGTCTTAGATATTGATATATTCTTCCAATTCTGTCAAATGCGTATTTATAATCATAATTTATTTCAACTATGAGATTAAATTGCTAATAAATTTATATATAATATTTCATAAGCTTCCATTTCTCTAACATGAATATGCAGGGCTTTGATCATAGCCAATGGGAAAATCCTAACTCCACAATCCCCATTTTT